TGTTTCGTGGATCCCAGCCGCGGAAGGGGTCACAGTGAGGAAGGCTTCTATGTCGTGCTTGTGTTTATTGGGTCCGATCTACTCAAAGACAAACACGTTTCATGGTCCCTCCTCACTCAAAATGAGCGTCTCTCTCAACGTAAATACCACGCTCACTTTTTTTATATTTTACCCGATTTTTTTTCTCATGATGGAAATGAAGATAATGCAATTAATGCAAAGGTGCAAGCGAGCCCCCTTGTTCCCCTTTTCCTGGGATTATTATCGTCATCATGGAAATGTTGTCTTTTATAGAAATGGAAGGCGTCTGATGCTCTCATGCTGCGAAGCTTATGACGTTCATGTAAAAGGCAACTATTGTCTCCAGTCTGTATCTTGGCTTGAGGGAATTCTGAGCTCGACGACTTTCAGTTGAGGGAATTGTGCGGTTATAAAATATTTTTTTAAGCACAAGCAACAGAATTATATTTTAAACAACAAAAATATATTTTCGGGTCTGACACGTAAAGATAAAATACCGGGTACTTTTGCGAAGACGTTTAAATGTCCCCGCCAAAAATAAGGTGTCTACGGAAAACAAATATATTCAGGAATAAATTTACAGCCACAACGGATGTCAGAGATTTCAAAAATAAATAAATACTAATTCGCGAAATACTTACCTCAATTTGCTAATAAATTTTCAATTAGTGAAAATAAAGTTATGGTTTCAGTTAGAAACTTGCCGAGCGTCATCGAAAAACCTTCAAATCAGTCGATGTCACGACGACTCGAAGCACTCGAAGCATTAGCGAGTTTTAGTAGACCGTGTTTCCCGCTCCGCTAACCCTCCGCTACCAAGAAACCGCCACTGCGCCTGCGTGCCGATGGCCTTGGCTGCAGAGCTCCGGGTAGCGAAGAGGCATAGCGGAGGGGGAAACACGGTCTATTAAAACTTGCTATTAGGGAGTTTTAGTAGACCGTGTTTCCCGCTCCGCTAACCCTCCGCTACCAAGAAACCGCCACTGCGCCTGCGTGCCGATGGCCTTGGCTGCAGAGCTCCGGGTAGCGAACAGGCATAGCGGAGGGGGAAACACGGTCTACTAAAACTTGCTATTAGGGAGTTTTAGTAGACCGTGTTTCCCGCTCCGCTAACCCTCCGCTACCAAGAAACCGCCACTGCGCCTGCGTGCCGATGGCCTTGGCTGCAGAGCTCCGGGTAGCGAAGAGGCATAGCGGAGGGGGAAACACGGTCTAGTAAAACTTGCTAATAGCGAGTCTTAGTAGACCGTGTTTCCCCTTCCGCTAAGCTAAAGTTAGCGCTCGTGCAGTGGACAGAAGGCCGGCGACGCGGAAACGCCAAATCGTATCCCCACCATCGTGCCTGCTGCGCGAGTGTTAACCTTAGCACCACCCCGCACTTCCCACCTGATTCAAGATAAAATAACAGATTAGAGGTTTTCCATGACGCACAGCAAGTTTCCAATTAGAACCATACGTTCTCTTTCTCTAATTAAAAATGTTATTTAGTCATTGCTAAGTAAGTTTTCTGATAATTAGTGTGGTTTCGTAATTCCTAACATACGCCGTGGCTAGTAATTTGTTCACGAAAAAAGATTATTTTTCTCTCAACCACTGTATACTCCTAGGAATTTTTGAAAATGTTCGCAGCGACACCCACCCGGTATGATCTCAACTCGCGAAAGATGCTCTTGTTCCGCTTTATTATGACGTTTCAGCTCAAAACAATAACCCTGTCAATAGAAACAAGCTTCCCTGTGGTTTTTTTTTTTTTTTGTCCTAGAAATTCTAACAAAAGAAAAGGAAGAAAAATTTTATTTCCCAGTTTTAAGGACGAAGTAAAAAAAAAGGACATCTTTTAATATAAGCCACATTAGAATAGTAAAAATGTTCCCCTGCCTTACATACCGGCCCCGCCGAATGTTTGAAGCTCCGCGTTTCCAAACAATATCGCTTAAAAAAAAAAAAAAAAAAAAAAATTCTTTCTAATATTGCATTGACAAACCGGACTGCAAGAAACACGAAACCAGACCTGCCTGAGAACTATATTATGCAAAATAGCAATCTTGACGACAAAAATACCGCTGCGACGTTGCCCCCTCTCCTTTTTTTTTTTTTTTCTTCTTTCCGGAAATCTGCAAATCCAACTAGAGTATACGACACAGGTAGTAGTAGCATATCGCACCACGAGAAATTTTACAACCCAAATGTTCTTCTCCCGTATGCGCTCTTGTCTGGACACCCGGGCTGCATAGCAAGGAACGCTCGCGTAGAGCCACGTACGCTTCGCTTCACATTACGGCAAAGCGCAAACGGACCGGACGCTACGAGCTATTCCGGCCAATCAGACGCCGGGAACGTACCACGTGACCAGTCTTCCGAAAGTACACGCGCACACTCCCACGTCTTCGATGGCTCCTATAGCGTCCCTCGAGGTCTGCGTATACTATAAGGGGAAACGGAGTTTAGCGGAGGGCCAAAGTATCGGCGAGTCTTCGAAAGTCTCCTGGCGTTTCTGCTTGCGCAATTCCAATCTCGCCGCTGCTATCGATCGCGGGCCAACGTTGCAGCATTCGGACCCGGTGTTCTCACATGGACTGGAGAAACCGGGAAGGGTGGCCGGGGGGAGGGGAGGGGGGAGGAAGGGTAGTTCGACTCTGACAAGCGTCAAGCAGCGTCGACTTTTATCGCCACGTCTCGGACGGCAGGGAGAAGGGGACGAGGACATCTCAAAGACGTCGATCAGGGCTGTCAGTGGGCCGCGCCAGATGAAGATATCCCGCTCGAGAAGTAGAGTCGCAACCCAGATAAAAACGAGATCCAAGAACGCTGCCTCGGGGACCGGCGGCTCTCGGGGCCGAAGTGAAATTCGCGACAGCGCCGAGAACTCTTCTACGAAGTCGAGAGTGCGTTGTCCAAGTTTTCGACGCATTCTTTTTTCTCGGCCGTGCCGCAATAAGTGGGAAAGCACCGCGAAGCCGAGCAAAAGCAAGAAGCTGTACAATTAACGCGGGAGCCACGATGTCGTCTCGAGGGACATTATATCCCCGGAGAGTAAGGACAGAAAGAATAATACTTAAAGGTTCGTGTCTCGTATACTTTCTGCTTAAACTGTACATATTAAAACTGTCTCCATATTAAACCAGCATAGTTATAGTTTCTTGCTCGACGTGTCTTTTTTTTATGTTTTTATTATACTCGTATATTTCTTTTTCGCTCTCCCGAAGAAGATAAACGCAATTTTAATTATATGCCAACCACCCGGTGCGAGCCGTGATCACAGTTCTAATACATCATAAAAAAAAAAGGTAGTCTGTCGACGCTCTCTGAGGCGCGTTTCTTCCTTGTATGGCTTCCCTGTAACATTGGTCATACAGAAACCGTCCGCGGACGTATTCGAACCATACATTTAGCTATGGAGCAAGCATGTTTCAATCCTGCTTGAGGCGTGCTCACATAGACTTTTATCATCATGGTCACACGCGACCACAGTCTCTTTTATACGATCTATGAGTAGTGCCTGTCACACTGCTCCCATGCATCATACAAAATCATGCATCATATCCGTAGTTCGAATGCCGCGTGCCCAAGTTTTCTCATTGAACTCACTGCCATGCGGTATTCGAAGCACGGATCTCGCGGCGACTTGCGTTTAAATTTGTATGCAGATTTTTTTTTTTTTTTACCCGGTTTTTACGCTTCCCGCAGGTCTCTTTTTCGAGATCCTCTTCCCTCGCTTACCGCTTCCTGCGTGCTTTTTTTGTGATACGCTGTCTCAAAAGTGTCTTCAGGTGTGTCTAGCGTCCTGTACCACCCATTCATCAAAAGTGGTCAAATGGCGTTACAGACCCCGGCGTGTCTTGTTGGCGTATAGCCTCCTATGTACTGACAAAGCCTGGCAAATCGCCACGAGACGCGGCCACCGATATGGAAAAGGTGGAGCGGCAGACAACGGATGAGAGGAGAGCCACGTGACTGGCGCCCCGCTGCGGCGCCAGTCATGTGGCACACTTCTTCCAAGCGAACAAGTGTGTTTCGGGTCCTCGCCGCTGCTAAGGCTGTGCGCTGACATCCGTGTTCCTCAAGAAATGGCTCTTTGATGCTCTGTGCTAACAGATCCTCGCGCTCTCCAAATCTGCGACCGGGCACTATATATAACTCCGTCGTCGAACTGCCACACTTTGTGAGTATAGAGGAGGCTATGGTTGTCGGATGTCACGATCCTGGCGGTTGGTGCTATGAAAATACGAGTGAACGCGAGCGTCACTGTCGTCGCGGAGTTCCAACTCCTGGCTGCCTGACGCTTTTGTGGTCCGTCAAGCTGGAGACCGCGACATGCAGTCGGACGGACAGGTGTCTGCCATATTTACCACCGCATGCTGCCGTGACAACGCAAGAATCGTAGCCGGCGACAATGCGAAACTTCCAGGACGTCGATAAGGAGGAACTCGAGGGGCCATTTTTGAGGACGCAGTAACCTGTGGCAGACGCGTTTCATGGCACAATGCATCTATAGCTTAAGACCGAGGATCTCGGAGGATTTCTCCCGACCGACCATATTTTAACGACTCAGGCACCACTACTACCGAGTATATATTCCCAATCGAGTAGGATAACTGGAAATGCTTACTCCGAGAATGTTAACACTCCATTCTCTCATAATATGTACGGTTAAAGAATGATAGACTGTACTGGAACAAAAAATATTAAATATAACATCCCAATTTAAAAAAAAAAATGTTTGAAACTACACTTAAAACGTTTTATATTGAAACAGTATTTGAATGAGAGATACATGTTTTGTTTTTTTGTTGTGGACATGCATGGGTGCGCTAACCGCCGCATTATTTATTTTTGTACATTTGGAATGGATCCAAGACTAGCCAAGCGTTGGTGCAGTAGGTTCTGTACTTATTTTGAATAAAACTGAAAATAATTGATTGATTGATTGATTGATTGATTGATTGATTGATTGATTGATGCCATTAATTGTTCCGCAGGCGCGTTCCTGGTACCCTATCTGCTCACGCTGTTCCTGGCGGGCATCCCCACCTTCTTCCTCGAGACGTCCCTAGGACAGTACCTCAGCATCGGGGGCCTCGGGGTCTGGAAGATATGCCCCATCTTCAAAGGTGAGCCCTCCAGAGACTTTTTGCTCGAGAGATTGCGCTGAGGTGGCCATGGGGGCTCTTCGGCGTCCTCATGGGAACAGAAGCGTCCGCGTCCCATCTCTAAAGGTGAGCCATCGCGAGGCGTAAGAGATTTGCGCCGAGTTCGCCGTGGGCACTTCGGCGTTCTTATATGCCAACACACGCGTCCAGCTAAGTCCTTCTGTATTGAAGGGACGTCCTTCTTCCCGCGTCCAGGTAGGGGCGGGGTGGACGGTTAGTTTCCTTTAGGGCCTTGCCCAAAAAGGCCCCTTAAAAAGGGGTACCCATCCTAAAATTACCCTCGAAAGCTGGCTGCAGACATATGTGACTCCGGCGACGGCCTGGGTAAGGGGAAAAAAGGGGGATCTAAGAAATTGCTTAAAAGTGGCAAAATGTCAAGTCCGTGCTTGGGGGATCCAGCGAGTGCTATTCGCCAGCTACATATACAGAAGGTAGAAGTACTGGGTTTTTCACGTCACGAGGTCTGCAGCCCGGGTACTAATTGGACCCGAATGCTGCGTCATCGCTGGGTGGAGTCTCATGTCCAATTTCCCGGACTCGCCTCTTTATTTGAGAGAATGCAGCAGAATACGGCCTTATGTTTCTACTTCGTTTCAAACAAGGTCTGATCCCAGCCGACACTCCGCTGGCGTCGTCATGGCGCTCGTTACGTTTGCGTGTCTGCTGTCATGATCGGCCCAACCGATCACGCACTGTGATGGCGCCGTTATCCTGCGCTTCTTTTCACTGCGTGATTCGTGTAGCCGATAATAGCGAACACGGATAGAAGTGTCCCCTGCCAGAGCTCGTGGTTTCAAAAATCCTCTATTCTTTCCTTCTTTCGCCTGGCCTATACGTTACATATCATCTGCCTCTGTTGGACTTGTATCACGCCATTCCGTTCGTTAAGGTTTTCTGTGGTTGCATCCAAAGAGGGAGAGAGAGAGAGAGAGTGTGTGTGTGTGTGTGTGTGTGTGTGTGTGTGTGTGTGTGTGTGTGTGTGTGTGTGTGTGTGTGTGTGTCCGCTCATACGATGCTCTTGAAGGACCTTCCGTTCGGATAAATCGTACGTTGTTCCGTTCATGAGGGGGGGGGGGGGGGGGAGGGGGGCATATTGTTTAATGGGCTTTATAGTCAATAAAAATTACCAGTTCTAAATTGCAAGTAAATATAGTATACTCTCAGCAACAGAATTTCACGGACACAATTGTTTTCTGGATAGGGGCAGGAGAGGTTGCATTTTTGGGTTCAACTATCCATAAAATTTGACCAATGAAAATAGTTAAATGCGTCGAGATTGAGAACCTTACTAATACTGCTCTTTTTTGGCGCGTTGTGTCACGAACAAAATTAAAATTTTGTTCGTGACACCGCAAATATATATTGCGAGTTTGCGTTCATTAAACTCAGTTGTAAGTCAGCGCTACGTCCGTGTCACTTCTTTGTCTGGTCCTCGTCTTTCCGCGCTGTTTTTAATTTCCGATGCAAAAACAAGCAAAAAATAACCTCCTTCTTGACGTCCTTGGTCCTCTGTCCCCCTTTTCCCGCGCCGGAGGATTCCCCTTGCCCCGGTAACTGAGGAATGTGGGAGGGAGGGGAAGACGGGGAAAGGAGGTGAGGCCGAGGAGAGAGACAGCTGCCCGGGAACGGGGCAGTTCTCTCTCCTCGGCTGAAGTCAGGACCAAAAACGTCACGATTTCGTCACACGCCGCGCGCGTTCGACGCCACGGGGCGCCCCCGTAGGAGGAGGAGGTTTCCGTGTAATCTGGTCAAAATATGACGCATGGATATTTAGTTACTCTCTCCGTGCCCGCTGGGTTGTCCGAACCACAGGAGACCTGGAAACCGCGAAAAAGGTAGACGGTTAAATAGGATTGCAGAGCCCCTTAACTTCAAACCTTGCTTGGATATCAGATTTCATACACAGCCCTGCATTGCCGAAAGAACTTGAAAGTATAAAACAGAGAGGACGAGGACGGGAACAGGACATCTTTCATTTAGCAACAACATAGAATGGAACAACGATAAAACCGCCCCCCAAGGGTCTCAACGTTCTCAAAGAGGGAAAGGAGATACTAGTTATAAAGGAAAGGGAATACACTAAAAGAAAAGTGAAAAACGCATCAGAATCTAGTTATTTTCGATTACTTAGAATTAACCTTGGTCATTTTATCATGTTCCCGTCCTCGTCCTCTCTGTTTTATACTTTCAAGTTTTGTATCTATTAACCAACACGCTCGTTTTCAATTGTAACTATAACTTCATCTCCTACCTTTTATAATCCCACGAAGTTGTATTCTTCATTGCAGATGCCTTTATGTTGCCCTTACCAGTTACATATTCTTCACGCTCACTAAGATAATACACAGTCTGAAATTCGTACCCCCCCCCCCCCCCCCCCCCGCCCCCCCTCGCCCCGTATAGGTACTTATATCTTTCTACCCTCTGAACCACAAATGCTTGTATTTTAAGTTCTTCCTTCTCCTCATCATTAAAAATCATGACTGCTGACATTGATGAATGGATGGATCGATGAGGCTGACTCCTTTGAATTGGTCGGCGACTTGCGCACCTAGCAAGTGTTTTTTTTTTTTCTTTTTCTCTCCCCCTGGTGTTTGTATACAGATGCAGAGATATGTGAGTGTCACGATCTATGATTAGATTATTAATTTAAAAAATTAGCCGTCCATGAGTCTAATTTAGGTTTTTTCTAGGATGATTAGAGCCCGTAGGATTCAGATATCACCACAAATAGACCATCTCCGATTTGCTTGAAATTTTGCTAAACTAACCAACAAACATCGCGAAAATAGTATCCCAAATATTAGGTTAAAATATTGTTTTTTCGCGAAGTTATTGAATTTACAGTTTTGGTCCTCACCGTGTTTTTCAAGCTCGACGTCTCTACTGGCAACAATGAAAAAGTGACGTCAGTGGAAGGCAGGGGTTCACTCTTTGGGCTGTACATTTTGTTTCAAACTGATTCGAAGCAGTTTCATGGTGTCAAATGAATGCTTGGGAAGCTCGCTGCAGTACCCGCGCTCCAGCACGGAACAAATGATCGGCATATTCTATTTTTTGGATGCTTGCTCGACTGGCAAACCTGCCTGCCACTGACGTCACGGCACTGAAAAGTGCGCGTATATTTGAATGTTGGTTTTTGCATCATTTTCATTTGCCGATTTCACAATACCTATTATGAATTTCGCGATTCTAAATAGCATACCGGAGAGAGCAAAGGCCGGGGAGTCAGAAAATATAGTTAGTTGAGGTAGCTCAAAAAATCGGTGGAGTACCCTTTAAGCTTTCCAGAGTCGGCACCCCGCTTGCTACTTGTTATCAGAATATGCCACAACAATAGAAATCCTTAGATGCAAAATCCATGCCGCCGTTTGATGTGTCGGCAGGTGGGAAACTAGGTAACTCCATGGGCGTATCAACCGGGGGAGGGGGGCAAGGGGGACGCTTGCCCCCCCCCCAGTCCTCAGGGGGGGAGGGGGGGGGGTAAGGCATGTGCTTTGCCCCCCCCCCCCCCCCCCCTGAAACAGCCGCCACTCGGCAGGGCAAACACCGTCCGGCGGCTCCCAAGGTATACCAAGGGCACCGCCCCCCCGCCCTGGGGGGGGGGGGGGGGGGGGGGGGGGGTGGGCGGGGTCTGGTTTGCCTCCCCCCACTCAAAAACAAGTTGGTACGCCACTGGGTAACCCCATATCTTCAACTCTACCGAGAGCTTCAGCTCAAGATAAAACGACAAAATAGCTTTTAGCGGATGTGTCTGTGGACCTTCGGAGAGAAATTAAAGCCGTGCCGGCAACGATTCCAAGCTTTTCTCTGCCCATTCAGTTTTATCGAAATTATATAACCAACATCGGGCCAAGCTTAGGAGTAAAGTTACGAAACACCTCTGGATGACTTTGAACAAAGTGTGCCTATTTACATTAAGAAGCAGCATTAATAGTTCAATTAACGCTGTTCCAGGTGATAAGAAATGCGAGTGCCTATTTATGTAATCCTAGTCCTTCCAAGGCCCCCAAAGTATTGCAAAGCGGGAGAGCAACGAGGAAGTTAGTAGGAAAAGTGCAAAGTAGGCACGCTCAACAAACAAAATAATTAATAATGATAGACTTTAAAAAATTTGAATCTTGAGCTTGTCATTGAGAGGCGATAGTCCACCAGGACAAAAAAAAAAAAAAGAAATAGCGATTTTAGCTGCGTCACGTAATCATTTTAATATCAAACTTTTTTGCGCAGTATCACATTTTATCCGAATTTACGCCGCACGCCCCAAGTCGCCATGTAGCCTTCACAGTGGTGTTACACTGCACACTATTAACGTGCACACACCCAACCCCAGATAGACATTCGAAGAAAGAAAAAGCAAAAAAAAAACACAAAAAAACAGCAACAGTTAAAAAAAAAACTAGGAGTGATGGACGATATAAAAGAAGCTCCCTAAAAACGGGACACTTCGTCCCCCGGTCGGTCCCTTTTGTGTGCGTCCTCCGGGAAGGCTCAATGTTCATAGTCTTCCGAGCAATTCGCTCCGTTTTTCTTTTTTCTTGGTCCCGTTACTTGTTCGAGACTCTCTGTCCAGCTCAGGCTGCGGTCATTGAGGGGCCTATCTCAAGAATTGGCCGAGGAGCTCGGGGGTTTAGCGCCGGCGCTCTGATAAAAAGCAGATCCCCGCAGCTCCTTTTGTGAGCCGCCCTCCAGAGCGCTCTGTCTCCCGTTTCTCTCTTTCTTTCGCAGCATTTATTTTTCTACGTTCTCGTCGCAATTTCTAGTTGTAAGGGGAAGATGTAATTAATCCAGTTTCGGTGGCATCCTCGTCGTCAACGTTTTAGTCGGTAGATAAAAAACTTCGCTGCGTTTTATGTTTTAAGGTTTGCAGGTTTTTTTGTCAGAATGTGCGTTATGACTGACACTGGTTGCATCAGTGTTGTAGGCGTTACAAAAAAAAAACAAAAAAAAGACAAAGGTAA